GATACTCATCTCCGTTGTCCAACTGGTTCAAGTACTTGTTGCGACGCCCGTAGTCACTGGTTCTGTACTAGAGGCTTACAATTAAACATAAATACAACTACCTAGTCTTGGTTTTGTACCAAGGTCTAATAGATACTCAACAGCGTATTTCAAATAATAGAGACTTGTGCCTGGCAAATACAAGCATTTTAATGATACAATCACAATCTAAAAGTTTCATGAAGAAAGTCCTTCTACAAGAAAAGGTTTTAAGCAATTCATTTCCCATAGTAAGCCCACACTGCAGCCCATGCGTGTTTATGCGTGCATGCCTATGTGTGTCTGTGAGTGTGTGTGTTTCTTGTGTAACCAGAAAGACCCGAAGAATCATTGACATAACAGTTCCTCGAAGGGTTCAGGGGATCTCGTACTCGAGCAGTCTCCATTAGAACTTTCTTACTTGTTTTTCATGTTATTGAAGTCAGTTGCAAATTTTGCTAATGTGGGATTGAGTCTGAACTTGTTGATAGAATACTTCGATGACATGATCAGCAGATCATTTCACTAAAATCAATTGGGTGGTACAAACATAACATATCAAACCAAAAGCAAAATAAAAACACGTGACAGGCACGTGCACATATATTCAAACATGCAAGCACCCTAAGACCATTGAAAATTTAAAATCAAGGTATATCATGATAGTTTTTTTAATGTATCTAATAGGCGGTAGGAGGTGTGTTAGACCCCATCAAGTACATATGTTCTTTATCAGGACGGCGAGCTGAGTCTGAGTCCGCCAGCTCGTCAGTCTGTCCGTCCGTCTATCCATTCATCCGTCTGTCTGCATGTTTGATCGCGTCGATCTTCAAAATCTCTATCCGTATGAAAGCAATTTTCAGCGCTATTGAAGATAGAGACTTGAAATTTGGAACACAAAATTTATAAAGTGTTAAAATTTTTCCGATCCATCTATTAGGAGCATGGCTAATCGGAAAATGTATTTCCAATATGCTAGAAATCACATTAATTGAAAAGTTAGAAAGCTGAAATTTGGAAAGGAGAATTGTGTCGACCACCCAAGCTCAAAAAGTTATATACATATCTACGACTTTGGAAGCGTGGCAATTCGGGTAAAGCCGTATCTTCTACAGTTTTAATGCAGGAAGGCTGAAATTTTGCACATGAGCTAATGTTACGATATGTCCACGCATGGCAAGTCTGCTATAATTTAAACACTTGATGCTAGAGTCATGAAAATGGTATATATACTCGGGTTGACCACCTAAGTCCAAAAAGCTATAGTGGATATATCGACGCTCACACAATTTATATGGTTGATGATGCCCGACTACAAAAAAATAAAAATAAAAACATCTTTAGAGCTAGAGTCTTTAAATATTTATGTGTATTTTATAGAACCAGTTTTATTATAATTCACCTCTAGTCTCAAATCTAGTTCAAATACTATAGACTTCTGTTTAGGTAAATATACTCATTTGAATGTTACTATCACGATCTGAAAGTTTTATGAAGATGGTCCATCTTAAAGAAAAGTAAGTGTGCGCGTGTGTCTGGGCTGTTTCTTGTTAATTATTAGAACACGCCCCTTTGCCAAAGCTCTAGAACCTTGTGCTTTGCCAAATAAACACATTATCACATTCTACGTCGATTGCGCAATCAGCATAGCATTTTTTTTTATTTTAATATATGCAATAATGAAGCATAGAATGATTGGAATATCACTTGTTCAAAGGATTCCTAGTCGAGCAGACTTGACTCGCTCAGCCAAATTGTAAGTCTATAATGTAATCGAAGCTGTTTGGGACAGCGACTATAGTCGTTGTCTAGTTACTATTAACTATCATCGATTTGATGAAGCTCATTTATTTCGACTTAGGCTCAATTAGGGACGCCCACATAACTGGAGACAACTGTTACTATTCACAGGAGCATGCTAATTGAGAGATTTCTGAGCACGTTAATCAAGTGGGCGTGGGTTTGCTCTAGCTAGCAATTATCAATCGGTCGATGGTGCTATAAAAGCGCCTCAATCTGTTGGAGGTACAGGCAGCAGTAGAGGAGCTCCGATACAGAAATGGTGTGGAAATTAGAGAAGTGCTCAAAAGAACAAAAGAACGGAAAGACCAAATCACTGTACATGTTCTTTCAATATGTGGACATCTTTTATTTCTCCATTGGCATGAAGGCTTACGATCGAGCCCTTTCTAGTACCTCGGCAAATACAACCGATTGGCGCAAAACAATTTTGCGCTGTTACTTCATATTCCAGATGCTAAATCTGAACTTGACGCTGTTATCGGAATTGATCTATGTATTCCTGGCGTTCAGCACTGGCAACAATTTCCTGGAAGCCACTATGAACCTGTCTTTCATTGGATTTGTCGTCGTGGGCGATATAAAGATTCAGCACATCTGGGGCAAGCGGGGGCATATCACAAAAGTGGTCCACCGCTTGCAGCTGCTGCATCCCGTAACAGCTGATCAACAGAAGGAATATAGGTTGAATGATTACTTGAGAGGCTATAGAAACGTTAGCATCTTCTACTTTGGCATGCATATGGTGCTCATCTGGACTTACAATCTCTATTGGGTCATCTACTATTTGGTGTGCGACCTCTGGCTGGGCATACGACACTTTGAACGGACGTTGCCTTACTACTGCTGGACACCGTGGAATTGGAAAAGCAATTGGAGCTACTATGTCATGTACGTCTCCCAAAATATTGCCGCCCAGACCTGCCTCTCAGGCCAGCTGGCGGCGGACATGCTCATGTGTGCCCTAGTCACGCTGCTGATCATGCACTTCAAGCAATTAAGCAGACAGATCGAGCAGCATGTGGCAGGCGTACAGTCTGCTGACCAGGATCTGAGCTTCCTCCAGAGGAGCATCGCTTACCATCAGCAGCTACTGTGTCTGAGTCAGGACATCAGCCGGATCTTTGGAGTTTCACTCTTTTGCAACTTTGCCAGCTCCTCGTTCATCATCTGCTTTGTCATCTTTCAGATAACCATCGGGGGCAACATCGATAATCTGGTCATGCTGATGCTCTTTCTGTTCTGTGCCATGGTGCAGGTCTTCATGATCGGTAGCTACGCGCAAAGCTTGATCAATTCGGTAAGTAATTTGAGGAGCTATTGACCCAATATAATTTTGTTTCGATTGGCAGAGCGAGCTCATCGGCCAGGCCGTTTACAATCACAATTGGTACCTGTCCGATTTGCGCTATCGCAAGCTAATGCTACTGATCATGCAGCGTGCCCAGCGCCCCAGTTACCTCAGGGCTACCAACTTTTTGAACGTTTCCCTAGTTACCGTAACAGACGTAAGTTGATCCTAACGGTGCCTAATACAATTTCTGTTATCCGCAATATCATTTGCAGCTGCTGCAGCTGTCGTACAAGTTCTTCGCCCTGCTGCGCACCATGTACTCCCAGTAGAAGAGATGTAGGTGGTATGACGTAACCGTGAGCTTTCTGTCATTGTCCGATAGCGTGTGCATGCATAGCAGGCAGCCTGTGCAAGTGACAAAAAATGTGGTTACGGAAATGGTCCAGTCATGGAAGGGCAATCATTTACGCCAACCCTCCTACAATTGCAGCTTCTAATTAGATTGAGCAGGCAGTGCGATGGCATCGCCACTGGCAAACGTACAGCAATATCGATAAAAAAAAAAGGAAAACGAAAAGAGAAAAGCTAAAGAAAACTACGCCCTTTGGCCAACATGAGTAGTTAAAATCCAACACTGATTTTACTTTGACTCGGGCAAAGCGCCAATTCTTTACTGTAGTCGATTGATGCTTAAGATTACATAAATATTACTTCTTGAAAATAAAAATACTGCAACACAATTACATATTTGTTTCTGTACTGGGACTCAGTGAAATATATGTAGATTATTTATACCTTCGCAAATTTTCATTTAAATATTGATTTTTTTATTATAGTTAATAATTTCTATTTACATTTTTCTACATAGTTCTATCTCTCTACAGCCTAGAAAATTTACATAATAAGTAAAGAAATATATATTTAAATAGTCAAATTAATTTAATATAATATAATTTAAGAGGTATATTTTTTTTAACAAAATACATTTTACAAATCTATATAGTTTATTTTATTTTATTAGGAGTTGACATTGTTTAATAAAATTTTATTTATTTTATTTTTTATTTTTATTATTATGTTTAATGTGATGTTTTTCTAGTTCTTGTAAATTTTACATAGTATATAATTAATTTCTGACCAAAAGCTGTATTTTGCATACTGTGCAATAGCAAAGTGAAAAGGTGAGAGAAGAGCTCCGCAACCACAAAAGCGATGATTAATTAACGCTAAGACAAATCTCTCATTTTGAACTAATATTGGTACAGTGGCGCTGTACGATTGGTCATCGCAACATTTGCGCAGTCCTTCGTTAAGCATTTGCCAGGCATTTTAATTAAACTTGTAATCACGCTCACACACACACATACACATTTACACCGACACACATTGGCTATTGGCAGTTAGGCGCGGCGCCTGAGCTTATGCAACACTTAAAATTAATTGCAAAATTGGCTGGCAAATTGCATTTTTATGACTGTAAAATTGAAAAGTTGACATAACGTTGAGTTGAATGGAAACGAGAAGGAAACTGAACGAAAAAATGGAAAAGTGAAGCCTCTGGACGTGGCTAATTACATTTGTACGGCTGTCTGGCTTGAGCTCCAGGGGTGAGGTCCACTCAGTTAGATAGATGGCAAAATTGAAGAATTTTTTCAATTAAAAATTTTGTAAAAAGTGGCAAGAACAAGAATACGGCACGATGCTCGCACAAGCAAATGGCAATCACAACAACGCTCGCAATTCTCAGCGGACAACTCGGACAAGTGGGCGTGGCTGACTGGTTGACTGGTTGACTGGCTGACTGGCTGGTAGGCTGACCTAATCTAATTAGAAATACGCGCGTCACGAACTTGACTTCACTTGATTCCCATGCCATTACGCAGCGCAGCGCCCGGCCAAATAGTTTCGACTAATTTCATTTGTATTTGCAGTTTTCACTCGCAAAGTTGTAAAAACTTTTGCCCAGCCCCAAACCCCCATTACCAATCCACTCGCCACACATTTGGCTGTCCGTTGGGAGGCGAACCACAAGCGCATTTCCATTCGATGGCAAACCGCTATTAATCAAAGTAATTGCCAGCGGCAAGTGGCAGCAGCGCCTGTTGCCCAGGTGTGCTTTTAATCTGGCCTTTAGTCTTAAGCCTTCAACAAGATGATATCGAGCATTGGAAGTCGGGTTGACCAACCACTAAAGCAATTGTATAGCAATCACAATTTGCAGTCAAGTTATTATATGCCTACCTATCTATCGCGCTCTAAAGAACTAGTTTATAAGGCTGTGAAAATAGAGTATTGCATGGCTGTCATTTAATATCTGGATTATAGATTGGAGAGCTTCAATGTAAGAGGGTAACTGGGCGTATGATCAATATTAATGTGAAGTTACAAAATCTGTTGCATACTTTTTTGCGAGCTACAATATTTTTCTTTTCCTTTAGGAAAATAAGTACTTAGTGTGTTTATATAAAACAGTTAATTATATATATATTAGTACGTTAAGCTGTTGCAGTAATAAAAATAACGCAGAAAATAATTAAAACAACGACTATCGTGTTCGAGGCTGTGTTCATGTGGTCGTGACGTGTTGCAAGAACCAACGGCTGCTCATCTCTAAGAGAAGCAACAATTCGTAAAAGCAAACAACATTTAATTCGAATAGCAACAATGCCAAAGAGAAGCAAACTTTCATGATATTCATGTTTATAGACGCATCGGGCGAATAAATTAATTCGGTATACAAAACTTTAAATATGTATGGCCAAAGTTTCTTGGTGGCCCAAATCAGTGAGCAGCCGCGTCGCCCTGTTACTACTGTAATCCAAAGAAATATTGACTTATAAAAACGTCAATATGCAGCCAGCGGGCAACGGAAGAGCGCATTGTGCGCCAAGAAAATTGCAATGGCAATTGCAACTGAACTTTTTTTCGCTTCAGCGTGTTGGTGTTTGAGAAATTGTATTTCATTTCATCAAATGAAGAAAAATCGTATTTTTTTATAAGGTCAGTGAAGTGAACGTCTGCAGATTGCTGGCAGCCTAGTGGGCCAATATATGTTTTCTCAAGTCGAGTCGAGTCGGGTCGGGTCGAATCCTTGGCGCCGCACTAGCTGCACGTCATTTTCTCACACAGTTATTGAATTTGACATACTAGTGTGTGCAAAGCACATACACATGTATACATGCAGGCATACATATATGCATGTACATACACATATACATGGCATTTATTTATATATACTGTGACATTTTTGGAGCACATCTCATATGCCTTAAGCTCGTCAGCTTGACCCACTGCTAAGGCAAGCTCCAGGCATGTTTCCCCCCTCCTAATCGCAACGACTGCATTTGTCAATTCTCACTTACTTCATTTGAGTAAACACATTTGCTGCATTTCATATTTCCAGTCACGTTTTTAGCATAAATAACCAACACCCACACACACACACACATTGCTTATGACAATTGTGCATATTTCTTCAAGTCGACTTAAATTTTAAAGTCCTGTTACGATGCCAGTGTACCCAGAACTGTATCCAAACTAATTTCAACCTAAAATTTAAAGGTCTTGAGTGTTAATAATCCAATTTCATACATATGCCCGAAAATATGTGTTTTTAAAAACTGTTTCTTTTATTTTATTATACTTTTTATCGCATAGTATCCCATTTCCACATCATCGATAATAAGCTATAATTTGATTTATCTTGTAAGCATGTAATATTGTAATATTAAGGCCAAGAACTTTGAATAAAATTATAAAATGATAATTTTTTGATTTTGGATACCGTTGTCTTTTGCACAAAATTTACATATATGATGTATGTAAATTAATCACATTTTTATGCTTATGCTTTATAAATAGTATAATATAATCGAATCGTAAAGATATCCAATATTCAGTTTAAGTTTAAAGTTACGAAAAACAATGGGTTTAAATATCATCTGAACGAGATTAAAATAAAACAAGTAAGAAAGCTCTAGTCGAGACTGCTCGACTACGAGATCCCCTGAACCCTTGGAGCAATAGATATTTCAATAATTTTTCGCGTCTTTCAGCTTACACAAGAAACACGCACACACACACACACAGGCATACATACACACACACACGCATATAGACACACATACACACACACACACGCATACATACACAAACGCATACACACACACATACACATACACACACACATACACAAACACATACACACACATACACAAACACATACACACACAAGCACCCACGCATAAAC